CATCGTAGTCGGCATCATCAGTGAGTTTTGCCATTCGCCGCACCAAGCTACGAACTCGTCAAAGAGACCACACCAGAGGCCACAACATCTTGGTCTTCATATATTCAATGTATATTTATCATTTACAAGTTATGATTTATATAAGCGCTGTATTCACCCTATTTCGCTTAAATTGAATTTTTTTCTCCCAAAAAGTATTTTCATCCACGCGGAATTGCACCTCAGTCTTCCATTCTCTTAAGCAAGATTGTGTGAATACAGCTCTTATAAAAAATCTAGCGGTAGTCTCGAAGACCTAATCACGTTTGATGTTGCATGTCTTCTGCACTACTTATTATTCTCAGACATGCCAAATGAGACGCCATTTTTTGCTATTTTCACTCAGAGGCTCAACATCTCATTGAGGAGATGGCGTCTTCCTTTTTCACTTTCTTGCATCTGCACATTTTACTCACTGCTGCCACCAACCTCTGCGTCTGGTAGTTACTATTTATGACTCGAAATTGACTATAATTGTATGCATTTAGAAACTGTCTTGAGCCTACAACGTTTGTTCAACACAACTGCTCCTCCTTTGTTGCCTAAGCCTTTTAATATTGTCGTCTACTCTCATGTTCTTAAACGAAACCCATCAATGATTGTCACTTAAAGGAACGAGCTATACTTGGAAGCTAACTGCTAAAATGTATGACTTCTGCATCAGTTACACAATCCACTTTGCACTTTTTGATAAAGCCGAGAACTGCTGCCGTCTTAAAGTTTGCTTTGGACAGGGTTCTCATTGTCTTGCCTAGTCAACAATGCTTCCCATTCTCTTCCTGTGAAATGCTCTGCAGACTGTCTATTATCCTGGTGTTGATGCACAACTTGTTAACTCTCTTAACTGGCCCATTTTTCACTTTAATTTGGGTATAAATAGGCTTTTTAGACTATCCGTCATACTTGCACCACAGCTTAGCCAGTCTGGATGGCTTAGGGTGTTTTAAACGATTTCCCAGCCGGGATGAAAATATATCTTTTGAAAAGTAATGCTTTGTGAAATTAAATCAAAGCATGAGGCCTGCACATATGATGGTGGGAAAATGCAACTATCAGACCTTCATCAAATAGGGTAGTTTCGAGGACTACTTATAAGCGAAAAAAGTAATATGGATATTCTTGTCTGCTTGTCAACATGTACATATAATGAGATGTATTCACCCTATTTCGTCTAAGGTGATGAAGGACTGGTAGTATAATTTTCCCACAATGATGTATGAATTGAGCTCAATTCTACTACCAGTCCTTCATCAGCTTACACGAAATAGGGTGAATACATCTCACCACAATGATTTAGTGGTAGTCTCGAAACCCTACTCACATATGAATATACATGTACATATTTCAGTTTATCCATTAATTGGCCGTTTGCTCTGCTAAGTCCGCTTCTCCGTCCGTCATTTCGCTCGTCTGTTGTGATTTTTTTGCCATCTAACAGTGTTTCTCCCTTGTCTATCTATCTGTGTGTATGTGTGTCGATAGTACTTTGGCATGTCAGGTTCTTCATCTCTTCCTTTACCTCTCGGCAGCTCATTTCTGCCTAATTCCTGTCCTCAAAAATCACCTCGAACATGTGAATTTTCGCATATTCATGTTTATACTAATTTTTTGTAATGAGATGTATTCACCCTATTTCGAAACCCTACTCTTATATGAATACTAATTATTTGGCTAGTCTATTCTATTCGTATCATTATGTTACAATTTTATTTTTTCCCGGTTCATCTCTCCTCGTCGCGCAGGTGTTGGTTGGGCTGCCGGTGGCGTTCGGAAAAGGCAGACGCGGCTAAAGCCAGATCCCGGCCAGACGTCGATTCCGGGTCCCGGTTGCCTCGGTGCCGCGGGTGGCCTATCCTTGGGCCTTGTTGCCGGCCGCTTCTCGCCCGTCCAGCTGCCCTCGTCTCCAGCCGGCCTGACAAACGCCAGTACGCCCACCCCAATGCTGACCGGCCTGACGCCGGTTCCGCCGCCGGCCGGCCTGCCCTTGTCACAGCAACCCCTACAGATGGGTTTGGTCGTCACGACGACGTCGACGACGATGACCACGACGACACAGTTCTCGCAGAGTCAACTGCCGGTGTCCTGGTTGAACGGCCCGGCCGTGTGTGGGCCCGGCCTGAGCAACAGCATTGGCTCGAGCCCGATGCTGTGTTCTGTTGCCGGGTCCACCTGGACGCCGACACTGCCGCCCGGCCCGGGGCCGTCGAAGAACCGGCCCTCTCCTCTGATCACTGGCCTCGGAGGGGCGGGACTCGGATGTGGCATCGCGGGAAATGTGAGCAGCCGGAAAGTAGGGCCCAAAAGGGCTGACGGACACTTGAACCGGCAGTTGGGGACAAACAGACTCTGTTGAGCTCATTTCCGTTTATGGTGAAAATGTGTGTCTGTATGTGTGTGTGTGTGTGTTAATGGGTGTGCCAAACAGATTCATGAGGATAAGACCCACCGGAAGATGGCTTGGCCGACTGTCGTCTAGCTTTACTGGGGTCTTCTGGTTGAAGTTCCCA